CAGTAGAGACTATATGGTCCATGTATTTATATTATTAATTAATGGGTCTCTGAAACATTATGAAGTATAGTGTTATTGTTTACAACTCAATTATGTGGTATGTCTTCTAACGTAATAGTTTCTGTTTAGCGTCGACAGCATTGAAAGTCAACTGATAAATTTCAAACGTTATTGATGCACACGAAAGAATGGTATTTTTCTTTAAAACTATACGTGTGCTTATCATTTAATATCAACAAGCCATATGATTCAAATGTTTTTTTTAAATTTTACTCTCAAAGAAAAATAAGATTAATTGATATATTTTATTCTAAACTATTCAAAGTCGTTACTTATGTGGCATATGTCTTTATCAATAAAGTGATACAAATTATTATTTTTACTGATAGCTAATAGTAGATTTTTATGTAACACTAACAAGTTAATGATATCCATCGGGCCTAATAAAATATACCAAGATATTCATATTACTGCAATTCGATGATAACATCCCATCTATCAAGAGTTTACACACACAGACTATTTAATCATACTGTTATATGAATTTTTATGACTATTATTATTTATTCTTATGTAACTTGCAACTTCTGATTATTTCTTATTCATATTATAAATTTAATATGTTGGTGATGAAATAATTAAATGATCAGTAACTGAAATAATATGCTTCAAATGATAAAACATTAAATGTATCTATGGATAATGAGAATAAAATTTTGATCATTAATTATCCAAAAAAAATTTTTTTTCAAAATGAGAAATTCATTTGTATATTTATTTTAAAATTCAAAAGCTACAAATATTTCTGGTTTTTTTTTTCATTATTAGCTTATTTGTTTTTTTTCAACATCTATAACAATTTTATTCTAATGTATGTGTAATTATTATTTATTCAATTTTCACATACATAATAAAACAAAAGAAAACTATAATCTTAAACTTAAAGAACGAAATCAAATATAATTTACACACATACATACAATCACAAAAATACATTTTTTGTTGCTTATTACAATTTTCGAAAATCGCATCGCAATAAACGTGTATAAGTTTTTTTAAATTGTCTATTAGCAAGTGCATAACAAAATGGATTAATTGGACTATTTAAGTAGCAAAGATAATAACAAGCATGAAATAGATATGTGTTAAACACAATACTTTCACGGCATGTTTGACAAAATGTTTGAATAATTGTATGAATATGCCACTAAAATAAATAAATCAGTTTTTTTTTCTTATTCAATTTATATAAATGAAAATTTTTATCGAGTTAATTTTTTTCTCGTTTTCAACTCATCAATTTGAATATCAACAAAAATAAAAATGCATTTCTCATGGGTATATATAAGAAGAAAAAAACCAAGTATGACGACAAGACTATTGAAGATGATTATATCTATCTAACTAAGAAACAATGATTTATTGCTTCTATGAAAGATGCTGATAGTTATATGAATAGTCTCATAGATAATTCTTATAAAACAGATTCAAGTGCAATACAACCCAAAGGTTTAAATCATTGAGGACAGTCATAATGGTCTAGAATGTCAACAAAGTTTTTCTTTTTCTTTCTATGATGATGGAATTATCAATACTTAATTTCTTTATATTATCTTAAAGAAACTCCTACGAGACACTTCGTGATAATCGAATAGTAGAATTCCTTTATGATCATTATTATTGACTGCAAATCAATACTAACCGGTGTCCAACAGAGAACAAATGCTCCCATTATAACAGTTATTGTACGCAATGCTTTTCTTGCTTTATTATTACTAGGACTTTTTCCAGATAGTTTTTGATTGGTTGGTTTTATATTTGGCGTTAAGTTTTTATTTTGTGTATTAGGTAAAAGTGTTTGATTTTCATCTAATTGTGTATGCGATTCAATATCAGCTTTAGTAAGTGCAAGTAAATTAGTTATATTTGGTGCAACAATAGCTGTTGGTGTATGTTCACCACTTGTTTCATTTGATGATGAACGATTAGTAGCATCAGGTCCATTTGTATTATTAGTGTTATTATTATTATTAGTAGGAGTATTATTATTTAATGAACTAGCTAGATCATCATCAACACTTGTTTGATGTTTTAATGGTGATGATGGATGTGAATATGGTTGTTGCTTTTTTTTCTTTGATGTCGGAGATGATGAAATGACTTCTGGTTGAGAAGTTCGATGATTTTTTGACATATTTATTACAAGATTTGTCATTGTTGATGATGGTATTCCAATAAGAGATGAGACTTTTTTAGCATTTTCTTGTGAACGTTTTTCAAGTGCACTTGCAACTTGATAAATAAAAAAATACAGTGTAAACATGATTAAAAGTGTTACCCAAAAATAACCAATAGTAAGACCTAAATTTGTAAGTAAAAAAAAATTCAACATTTTCTACATATATGTATATATTTATTATTTAACTAACCTAGATTAAAATAAGCATTTTTATTCCATTGAACACTAAGATAAAGGAAAAAATAATTTTTCATCTTGTTGTTTTTTTTTATTTTCTTTCTTACTCGCATTGTAAATCAGGTTTACTTAAATTGGGTTTTTTACTATATAATGGAAAACCCATAGTTGAAGCAAAAAATATAAATGCTGGAACAACCCATGTTAAAAGCACCAAAAAAATAATTCGTTTTTCTGTTCTCCAATTTCGATATTTAGTTGGAATTTTAACTGAACAAAAACGATCGACGGTAATTAAAAGTACCGTATATATAGACGCTAAACATACAGTATAATCTAATGATAACCATATGTCACATAAAAATGATCCAAGCACCCATTTATTTTTATATACAGCTAGTGTTAGAAAGGGCATTGATATAAAACCGATTAAAAAATCGCTGACAGCCAGCGAAAATATAAAATAATTTGTTGGATGACGTATTTGTCGATCGACAAAAAATGAAACAAGTACAAGTATATTACCACATATGGTAAGTAATGACATAAATGTACCAATAATAGCAAATGCAACATTAAGTTGTAGTGGGTATGGATGTGATGAATCAGATGGAGTTGATGATGGTGAAAATATCGTAAATGATAGATCTTGAACATCATAATTGGTCAAATTATAAAATGTGACCGAATCGTTAAAGATTAAATATGAAAGCTCTTCGATCATACATATAATAATAAAAAGAAAATAATATGTCTAGAATAAATAAACATATCTAATAAACTCAATAAAGATGTTGTTGATTATTTTCTATATAAAAATATTCTTTTTTTTATTTACCTGCTATGTTATATGTACTCGTCACTTATCTGAAGTGTATGACAGACAAGCAGAGAGAGAGAGAGAGAGAGAAACTATTTTCGTCTATCTTTTTTTCATTTTCAAGATATTTGATCACATATTTATTGTATTTATCTTCATTTCGTCTGTCATTCTCTTCATCTCGTGCACTGAAGTAAGCACGCTCGACAGATCCATCCATTCAGCTCGAGGCAAAATGTTATTACTATTTGTATGTATGATTCTTCAATCTGTCGATCTCTTGTCTCTCTTGTGTTGCTGTTACACCCGCTCGATCTTTGTGATTGAAATCGGTCAATTTTTTGATCGGAAAATATATATACATGAGAAAAAGCACTGGTGAACGCATACTTGCTTTCTCTTAGTTTATGTGTCTGTAATGATGATCATTTATCAAGAGACAAGCGTCGTGGACTCTCTTTTCTCTCTTTTTTTCTTATGCTCGTTTCTGTTGTGCGTTCTCATCAAACGCTATTCTTCTCGCAAATAGTCATCGACTCATTCATAGAAGAAGAAGAGAGAGGGAGAGAGAGAGCCAGGGGAACGGACAAAACGTTTATAGAAGTCGTTCTCTGTGACGGCCTATATGTTGTTCGTTCGTTTCCTATTTTTTTTCCTCATTCTTTTTTTTTTCTTTTATATGTTAAAAGAGAATTCTATCATTTTGCTATCGCTGCGATTGATTTTCTTTATTGGTGAAACATTCGCACCTTTCCCAAGAGATTCGACAAACGTGCTGCATTACTTTGTAAATGAAAAACGAGCAAAAATACAAATAATATTGTTGTTAGACACGCACATAGTTACATGAAAAAGCTTGTTTTTTTCTCATGCGACCTTGAATCTTCAAAAGATACTATCGATTAACATTCTCTCGTGCACTTAGTTTTCATGTGCAAGATTGTACGCTCGACTTTCTATAATCGACGATTATTACCTGCTTATGTCGTCGGTTTGCTGGAGGCGACACAAAATAAACGAGCGACTATGCATAGAAATTCTATAGTGATAAACAAGCGTATATGGGAAGATTGGATAGTTCTGTCGTCCATGCTTGTTAAATAAACTAAAATACAAAATTTGTGGTTGTTAACCATATAAAATTATATGAAGCAGAACAATTGAATATAAAGAAACGACAATTCAAAATAGATGGACAGCGTGTCTTTTTTTTTTGCTTTATATTTATAAAAGCGGATATTTAATTTCGGTTTTCGTCTACTGTATGCACTGTCCAAAACGACCGATGATAATAACAATGATGATTAAGCTGAAAATAGGCCTAGACAATGACTCGATGCAATAGTTCTCTCATATTCAAAATAAAAGTGTCAAATAACGATGATAGAGTGTCGAAACAAATATGACAAATTGATACTAGCTTAGCTATAATTATGCTCGTGTGTGTACTCTTACCGAATAGAAAATGTCGTCGTATGAATGTCCATGTGTGTAAAGATATTTATTAATAAATAGCAGCAAAGCAAACGTTAAACAAAAAAAAAGAATATTATTCTTATTACAGAAAATCGTTATCGAAGAAAAACTAGAAATCCTTTTTGCCTAATCATTTTTCATTCCCGACATCTGTTTCTTGTTCTTCTTTTGAGAGACTTAATATATCAAGAATATGGTTGAGCGATCATGCGTAACACTTGATCATTTCTTTGTTTTTTTACAAGTTTGATGTACAACAAAAAAAAAAGAACAAAGATTAAAACAGACATGGCTAAATGCGAAAATTTTGATCTTACAGATGAACCTAAATTTTCTACACTATTACAAAATGTTGCGGAATTACAATCCTTAGGTTGTGATATTGGTATTGAACGACAAGCTCAACTACCATCTATATTTCAAGAAGAACATGATAAATCAAAAATGGATAATAATGAACAAGAAACTTTACAATTAATTAAGACAACAACAGATATAGCTCGTCGTGCTATGAATTTAACTGTTCATGGTGTACAATTATGTGCATTATGTGCAAGTCGAAAAACAAGATGTTTTAATAGTTTTTCATCTGCTATATCTTGTATTCGCGAACAACACGGTTCATATCAACCACCAAAACATTTATTGCTTGCATGGGAAAGAAATGTTATGTTGATTGATTTATTTACCAATGATGAAGGACTTTATTGTAATAGACGTATAGCACAAGATATGTTTGACATTTGTTTGGAAACATTTGACTGGCTTCGTTTGATTGCTAACGATAATAAATAATAATAGCAATAGCAGAGGTATAAGCTGATTCTTCAGGGAAATTACTAGTTCTTGTTCTTGTTCTTGTTTTTTATTTTTAATTTTGCTTTTTATCGTATGCAATACTCATTAGACTTACCTGTTGTTGTTTTTTTTCATTTTCTTCATTGAGACTAGATCAAAGATCAAGTCATAAATAAACATTGCAGCAGAATAGAAAAAACAACAAATAATTCAATAAAATACAATTATTTGATTAATGCTAGAAAAATAAAACTTATCAAGTCATTATGAGCTTTTTACTTCAGAATATCTATCCATGGCTTGATCAACTATAAAACCTTATGTTAAAAATCTTGCTTGCTTTTTGTTGTTCTATTAACTGATTATCTTCGATGAATAACGATAATAAAATTAAAGATTTATTTGATTATTATATCTTTCGTATAGTGAATATGATCTTTCAACTGTAATATTACCATAATTTAAATTATTTCCGATTTATTATATTATCAAAATATACAAGAAAATACTTTTATATATATATATATGCTCTTATTGTCGTACATATTGTCAATCTATTCTTCAATTATATTATTAAATTATGGTCATTCTTACGAGAACGATTGATCGAATGAATAAAATTTATTGTTATTTGAATATTAACCCATATATTTTGACATAGATTTAATTTATTCATATTTTATAGCGAGAAAAGTTCTGAAAATATCAATTATGATCAGAGAATAAGATCGTGTGATTATCGGTACTTCATAAGGTCATAGTACATCAAAACTAGACATACACTGGGAATAACACTTCAAGATTCAGTCTGTACAACAAATAGTTTTTTTTTACATGACAACAAGTCAGTGAAATTTTTCCGTCATACAATTCAACATTAACTGAGGTTTAATCCTTTAGTCCTATCCTTCACAATGTGCATTTAGGCGAACATTTGGCTAAAAATAAAAATCACGCTCTTTCAAGATTTAAATATAGGAAAATATAGTCTACCTAATGGTATAAGATAATTTTGTTACAACGTTCAAAGAAATTGAAAAATCAATTGTTGAAAAATTAACCTGATAATTGTAGTGTTAACGGGAAAATTTATATATAACAAAATTTAGCTGTTCGAAAGGCAAATCAAATACATTTTCTGATTCTTCAAGAAATGTTTAATCGACAAAGTCAGTGTATATTTGAAATCAGTGAATTAAACTGTGTCGAATGGTGCATAAAATAAAACAATTTTGAAGAAAAAAATTTTCTTGAAAAAATGAGAGTAAGGATATACTCGCGCATTTTCGTCATAAACTTAAAATGAATATTTTTTTCATCACTTTATCTTTGAAATATCTAGTCTACAAAATCGATTATTTTGAAAAAATGTGACAATCTCGGAATGAAACGTTTTCTAGCTATACTTAACAGAGATCTGTCGAAATTATTACATGATAAATATTGTTAAAGAAGTTCACTAGTGAATAACAGGTGTTTCAAAACTTTCATGATAATTTGGTATATGACACATACTAAGACATACAATTGACCATGAAGCTATTAATGAGCAACCAAGAATAATGTTAACATTTGTGTTTTAAACTTTAATTTATGACAATTTGAAATAATATTTATTATGAACTAGATGTTTTCAGAGGTTATAAAGTAGCTCAAAGCAAAGTAGATGTTTGTTTAACAAGTTGTGTCAAAAGCACATTTGTTTTTATTTGGTTCATTCCTTTTTTTCTCTGTTAACAGAATAACATTCATCATATTGATGTTGCTTGCGTCCTTGGACCAATCAAACGACTCTACATAAAGATATGGACATTCGGTGGATCAGAGCACATCATTACCATATTGAACAGGCTAATGCTCTATTTATAAAGTTATTTTATCAGTTGCTCTTCTGGAATCACTGTGGGAAGTAAACGGTTAAGCATAGCTGTTATCTGATGTCTCAAATTTACTGTCGATTAAGTTAATATTTACTCTGTAATCCTAAAGTGTTGTGAATATTCTGCTACATGATAAGTTTTGAATAAATACAATTAAATAGCGTTAAACTTGATAGTTGAAATTAATTTTTCAAGACTTTTGCAGAGTCTCCGATACTGTCCGGTATGCATTTTTGTGATATTCACAGCAAACGAGCTGTTTTATTTGCATGAAAGGTTGAATATACGAGATGTTCGAAAAGTTATTGATCAAAAACTATATTGTATACTTTCATTATGGTTCCATTGGATGAACTAGTAGTAGAGGACACTAACAAGGTGTTACTTATAAATATAAAGTTTTCAAATACTTCGACAAAGTAGCACTTTCAGGTTCAATACATAATCCAGTACTTTTCAAGTTTCAAAAAACAGTATATTGGCTTTTTGTCTTGAATTTTTTTTCATTATCGTGAGCTCCCAGTCAGCTAGGCCTATTTCTCTTCTTTGATAAAGTTTTGTTGAACATTTTCAACAAAATAGACACATTCATCTCAAGTTTTGTGTTCGTAAAAATTCCAAAACTGTATCGGTTTGTTCAGTTTACTTTTCATCAAGGTTGTTCATATGAAAAAAACAAATGGTTTTGAACAAACCTACTAATTACTCTGAATTTTTTAGACATGTTTATAAAACGAGAGAGATAGGTCGAACTGATTGAAAACTCTCAATATTGAAACAAAGTTCAAGAAAAAATCAACATATGGTTTTCTTGCTACTAGAAAAAGAATTTTATTGTGGATTGAATCTGACAGCGCTACTTTTTTGGAGTATTTGAGAACTTTATATTTATTAAACAAAACTTAGAAATGTCCTCTACCACTAGTTCATCCAATAGATCATAATGGCAAATACAATTTACTTTTCGATCAATGACTTTCAAGACGATCTGTATAAAATGGTATAAAAAAGTTTACCAACAACATATTTTTTTTAATATTAAGCAATGATGTGCGTGAGTAATGGTGTGAAGAAGGAGTTTGGATAATGGCCTACTCTTCATTGAGACGCACACTGACACTCGCACTGAAGAAAAATAGCAACATTCGAATAAAGTCGAAAAGCTAATATTTCAAAATATTTTTGCTTGTTTTTCATTTTTTTCTTTTTCATAATAAACATTTGATTCGAATTTAGCTGCTTGGTTTAATATTAATTTTCCGGATGAGAAAATCCTCTGAAATCTCCATCTCAGTTTTCAAAATTTGTGCTTTCAACCAAAGTTTAGATATCCATCGAAAAAAAGGCGTTTTAAGTGGTACTTTTAACGGGAAGATCGTAGATAAGATAATGTAACGACTCCTTATGTTACTTTTTTCAAAATTGGTATTATTAAAAGATAGCCTCTAAGATCTGAACATTACATTGACTATTAAAATTACTATTTACAGTTGAACTAATTGCTTAACATTATAGAATAGAAAAGAATTCAAAAATACATTTTTGTTAAACTTGTTTTATCCACTATCTTCTTTCGATGATTTAAAATAATGAATTCATTAGAAAATGTTAATCTTTAATATGAATTTGTTCTATTGTCTAGAATTATATTCATTGTCTTTTATTTAAATAAATATACAAACATGAAAATATTTTTGTTTACACCATATCATAATTATCATCTTCATCATCGGATTCATTAATTTTTCGTTTATTTGTATTCGATGATGAAAATAAATCATTTGAAGCAAAACTTCCACTTGCTGTTGTTGTTGTTATTGTTCCTGTTAATGGATTATAATGATCGGTTATAAATGTTGTAGCTGATGGATTATTAGATGTACCATGTTGCTGTATTGTCTTTGAAAAAAAAGAAATTATCTTTTTTTTTCTTCTTTCAAATAAAGAAAACAAATTCATACTTGATTTGTTGAATGTTCATTTGATGTATCTTTTAATTTGTAATTAGGTGCTAATAAACAGAATCTATCAGCTGGTAAACGTGGACCAGAAAAATTTCTTATTGGTGGTAATGGATTTTTATTTTTAGTTTTTGCTAATTCAGTTAAAGTCTAAAACAAAGGAAATCTCTAAATGTCTGAATACTACAATATTTTTTTCGGTTGGATAAGACCTAACATGAAGTATGAAGTTTACAAAATTTGCTTTTTTGATATGAACGGAAAAACTATTCCTGATTAAGTCAGCTAATCTTGCAATAGATTTTGGGAAAATTTTGGTCTACAGAGTGATATGTTTTTCTTTCAGAAGAAATATCGGTTTTCTGAAGTTGAAGACTCTTTCAAGATGTGCCTGAAGATGATTTGTATCTAATGAAAGATTGATGTTCAGGCGTCTACAGATCAGGTATCATTTTCTACTCTCAGACACATTTTGAACGAGTCGGCAACATCAGGGAAACGACGTTTCTTCAAAAAAAAAATATGTCGTTCCATAGAACAAAATTTTTCCAAAGGTATTGTAAGAGGAGAAGACTTGATAAAGATTACTTTTTTCGTTGATATCAAATAAACAGAATTTTCAAAGTTCATAACTCCTGTTAGATTTTACTCAACCCAAAGGACATTATAATATTTAGACGCATAAACGTATTCTCTAGTAACTGAGAGCTTATATTTCTGCACTACTTTGTTGTTATAAGCTTTCTGAGGATATTAAATCACTATATCAAAACTGTAACTTAGCAGAAAAAAACACTTTATGTTATCTCATGTCGTCACAAACAAAAACTAGTTACTCAAAAGAATAACTAACAAGAGGAGTGTGTAATCCATGGAAAAAGCGTTAGTTCTTTTGAAAGTATATTATCGAAAGCACATCCTTCTTCAATTTTTTACATCTTTTGGTGGCATTGTTGAATGTTCTTCAGCCCAATTTTGACAAGCTAATTTAATATCTTCCAGTTCAACTTGTTTTCGTCCAGCATGTATTGAATATAATTTTGCTTCTTCTAACACATCTGTTGTATATTCTTTAAAAAATGAAAAATGAATTAAATAACAATGAAATAATTGTTTGTTTTTTTTTACGAACGATGCATGAAATCAAGTACCATAGGTATTAATTTTGGTTCATAATTGGTTATACCCATTTCTTGAAGCATTGTTTGAACAACAATTCCATCTTTTGGTAAACGATTTTGTTCATCAGTTGATGATGGATTACTCATTTTATCTAGAAATAAAACAACATAATTAAATGAATCATTGAATACAATAAAAAAAGACACAAATGTTTTTCTCGTGTATTTTTAATTAAAACTATTCAACCAATAATTTAATTTGAAGATGTAAATATTTTCTTTTTAATCAAACAGAAAAAGCTATACTTGATTTCTTACAATATCGATAAGAAGCTAGCATAATACGACGAATTACTACGACGAAAAATGAAATTTCATTGGTTCGAAAATTAATCAATAGAAATACAATAATATGAAAAACACCATTATGGTGCCCAATGCACGACTAATGGTGCAACATAGCAACATATGCACTCTAAAAAATGCCGTGCGTCTTGCAAAACACTTCAAGTGTCTATTCTACATTTATTTTGCTTGAGAGTCTAAAATTGGTTATCCGTTGACACTTGATACGTCTAACTGAGACACGTGATGCGTCTTTTTTCTAGTCGTATGATGTGGCGTAGCTAGACGTGCCAACTGTCAACGGATAACCAATTTTAGACGCTCAAGCAAAATAAATACAAAATACACACTCGAAGCGTCTTGCCTAAGCGTCTTAATTTTTTAGAGTGTGAAATCCATGTTAACTAACCCCGACAGCCTAGTACATTTCAAAAAACGAGAACCAAGCAAAAAAAAATACCGAATACCTCTTCCATTAGAGGAAATACAAAAAACTCACACTTAACAAAGCGTAAGATATACCTTACCACAACCATAAAAGATGGGTCCTGAGCTGATCAACATCCCCAAAACCGCTAATATCATGGGACAACAATACTTATAATACGACAAATCTAACGCGTCTTAGCTGACCATTTAATTCATACTCCGCCATTCCGCATCCCTTCATACCAAGCAAAGTTTCCTTCCGTATGCGACAATCTTCACATTCGTTCATACAGCCGAAGCTTACCACGCGAAGCGCACCATCGAGCACAATCAGTGATACCGTCGTCGACAGGTTTCTCTGAAATGAGCCGATCAATCGATCGTCAAAACCATTGCCAATCATATAATTCGGTACTATGTAATAGAGAATTCAATTCTGCATCGAATGGTGGTCAATTTAATCTATGAATTCATTTCATACTCTGCAAAGTATGTCCTAGTAGATGAAGCGTGATCTCGCCTGGAAGGAATTTTCTAGAAAAACTACCTCACAGCGACATATAAAACCATTGTCGGGGAATTGCTAAAGTAGGCTTGGATAGAGAATTCAATCCTCTTTCGACTGGTGGTGAATTTAATATGTGAATTTATTCCCTCCTGGACAAGGTATACCTTTGAATGTGTTTACTGATCGCCCGAAAGAGTGTTTTCTTCAAAAAGTGCTTCACAGTGAGAGATGAATCCATTGTCGATGAATTTCTTGAAGAATGTGTGCGGGGGGAGGGGGGAGGGTGTGGGTATGGGGCCTTCCTTTAGACTCATCCGCACCCACACGTTGTACTACCTATTAACAACACTATTACATACTTCATAATTATTTATAAACTAGATAAAACCTTTGTTAAATATTCGGTCATCGAATTGTGAACAAGAAAAGTAGCGGCCTCAAGATCATAAAACTATTCTGTATCGTGAAGAAATTGTGCTTCAAAGTAATCGTTGTAAATTGTTAATGTCGGAGATGTCATTTGATTACTGTTATATGGTACAGATGAATTTTCGACAAAATCAAGTTCGACTAAGAGCATCGAAATAATATTTAAAAACAAAAAAGTTATTTTTTATCTTTCCCATAACTTTGTATAACTCCGCTAATTAAGCGAGTGTTAATCACTTCATTGTTACGTTTAGCTTTGATTAATTGAAGGTACGCTGATGTTACTTCTCTATTTAATAGTGAAGAAATGCTAACTGTCAAATTTCCATAACCATCTAAATTTTTATTTATTAAATGATTTCTATTGAATATTTTTTTTTTATTTAGATTTGTTTAGTAATTTCTATGATTATTTTATTTTTTCTTTATTTTAATTTAGGATAATATTCAAAAATATATTATTTAATACAATCTAAATAATTCATTGAAAAGAGAAACTTATTATGTATTTTAATATTTCTTTTTTTAATTTTGTCAAAATTATTCACTTAAGAGATTTTTATCAATAAAATTTCGTTCTTTATTCGATTTTTATTCTTTTTTGAATTGTATGAAGAATTATCATACAATGTAAGAGATGAATATGACATAATAATACTATATATCTCTTTCTATTTTAAATCCAAAAAAAACAAATGAAAATAATAAACAATGCAATATGTTGAAAATCTATATGTTTTCAAGAATACTAATTAATATCTGTGGTCAAGTTCACTAATATTTTTCAATATGAATGCTATTATGATCAAGACGTAGAAAATGTATTGCTATACATTTAATTAAACAAATTTGATTATCGTTCAAATTATTTCTAAATAAAAGCAAAGTAAAATATTTCTTTGTTTTTTTGAAAGAGAAAAAAAAACAATAACTCACGAACAAATTATAAATTCTTGATCATGTCTAGATTTTTTCATTGCATGAATTGATTCAGATAATAATGAATAAAGATTGTCTAATTTTTGTATTAATTGATTTGACTTATTCATTTTTTCATCATTAGATAAATTATTCCAATCGATTTTCATACATTGAAACATATCATGAACGATACAAGTAATAATTGAATTGCTTTTGGAAGAATTAATAGTCATATCAATCATTTTTTTATATAATTTTTTTATTGACATTGGTGTTGTACTATTTGGTTGTATAACACTTTGTAAATAACCACGAAATACTTCCATTAGTCCCCGACTATGTAATGTCCCTTGATAAAACATAAGTTTTCTTTTGTTTTCTAGGTTTTCTTTGTCTTTTGCATCACATAATTCCTTTATTAATTCACAAGTACGAGATTGTTGAAGAAATAAACGATCATACATCGAGCTCTTTTCTTCAATTAAGCGTTCATATTGATCACGAACCGCTTTTACTGTTGCTAATGATGATGGATTAGATGAAAAAAGATGACAAAGAATTTCATCAGAAAAAGCTGGTGAATTATTTATTGACCGTTGATGTTTTAAAATTGATCCGATAAATCGTTTTAGTATTTTCTAAATCATAAAAATAAATAAATATTTATTACTAGCATCAAAAATCAAAGAAAATTTAATTAACCCAGGTCGATCATTCCGGATGTTCGTAACGGCGTCGTAAACGGTATAAAAAGACGCTATTACGGGCCGTAATCCGTCAGCCCGTTTTACGACCACCGTTTAGTGCAGTAAACGATCATCGTTTTTACAAGAAACAGTCATCGTTTTTCACCGTATTTTAGCCGTAAAACGGTATGCCGAAAAACGGTCTCCATACAATATCGTGCAATATTATACAATATTGCTTCTCGCATTATTTTCATCATTCCATTTTACGGCTAAAATACGGCGAAAAACGATGGCCGTTTCTTGTAAAAACGATGATCGTTTACTGCACTAAACGGTGGTCGTAAAACGGGCTGACGGATTACGGCCCGTAATAGCGCCGTTTTATACCGTTTACGGTCGTTTACGACGCCGTTCTCTTTGACCTGGGAAATAAAGATTTATATAAATATGAATAGTTAAATTTCTCAAATAAATATTTTTCATTAAAATAACAAAAAATATTTCTATTTTGAAATATATTTGGAATTATTGTTAGTGAGAAACTCAATCTTATAAACTTTCTTTTTAATGAAATAAATAAAAAAGAAAAATATATGTATTATCAAGTGATAACATCTAGAAGTTTATTGGACTGATATATGCATTAGAGATGCCAACAGGCCACTTTTTTCGGCCTGGCCTGGCCTCACCTAGCCTACAGACCAGGCCAAAAATCAAAGAGTGGCCTGCGGCCTGGCCTGATCTGCAGGCCAAACCAGGTCAGTTGATTTTTCTGATTTTTCAAATCTATTAAATTCTATAACTCTGTATTAATGCATGATTCCAATTTCAATTATTTATTGAGTTTATTTTCATGAAGATAATGAAATAACACGTTTTTGCACAAAATAGCAAATTAGAACAAAGAGACAATCATCTTAAATATTTTTCATGCAAGAAAGACTTGAATTTACGAGATTTTTTGATGATATCAATACTTCTTCGCATAATCGAAAGATATTTAAGCATAATAACAAAAACAACATATGATCCGGGATACGACGAAGAATTAAAAGAAAATATAAATCCAAAAATAGACTAATATAAGCCAACAGGAGATGATTTATTATTATCAACAATATCGTATTGTTGTTTTTCATGTTTTAATAAATAACATATTCGTTCACTAGAATATGATAACGAATTTGACGAAGAAGATGATGAAACATTTGTATTTGACGAAGAAGAAAATGTTGAAACATTTGTGTTTGATGATGTAGTAGTAGATGAAACAGGAGAGGTGGATAAAATCTGAATATCATCAATTGACATTGTTGTTGAAATAGATGAAGCAGGAGAGATTGATAAGATATGAATATCATCAATTGACATTGAAGAAATAGATGAAGTAGAAGATGTTGATAAACGATGAATATGTTCAGTTGACATTGTTTATTTAAGTTGTTGCCTATTAAAAAAATTGTAAAAAGAAATGTGTTTTGTCTTTCAATTAAACAAAATCATTGTTTACTTTATTTTCGCTGAAATAAATCAATCATAAATATTGTCTCCTCTCCTTTATTCATTCAATTCGTTTACTCTTGTGGTCTATAGTATTCACCATTTATAAATGACGAAGTTAAAAGTGAACAAAATCATCAACTTGTGGTGTCATCTCATGTTTCAAGATGACTACTAGAGAAATGAATATCATATCGCAGCCAGGCCACCCATTTTGGCCTGGCCTGGTAACCAGGCCGGATATTAGATGGACAGATCAGGCCAGATCAAAATTTTAAAATTCAGCCTGGCCAGGTGGCCTGGCCTGGTAAGCCACCCGGCGCCTGCCAGGCAGCAGGCTAGGCTGGCAGTTCTGACTTGTACCAATTACAAAAAATTCACTAGCATATTTTTCAGCATTAACTAAATGAGGGAATTTTTTTTTGTATCATGATATCGTCTTAAACATTGAGCAAAACGAAATTATGATGGTATAATCATTAGAAGTGTTTGTAAAAGTACTTGTTGCCAACCATTACACAATAAACCACGTGTTGATGATGAAGAATTGACTGGCCACCATCCAACGTCATAAATATAAAAACAAAAGAAATATTCAATATCAAAAAATATAAATTCAAGTGATGTTAATTGATCACCAAGCCAAAAATCAACAAAACCAACACGATAAAATGGTGCACAAATCATTCGACCCAAAGTTTTTAAAAACCAAAATCGAGCATGATGATAAAGTGTTGGTGTTGGATTAAATAAAAATAAAAGAATTAATGTGACAAAACCAAGTGGTTGAATAAATTAATGAACATCAAAATAATATGATAAAATAAATCCCGTAAAACTTAAAAACCATAAAACAAATAGAATAGTACCTATTTCTAAAACTTATTGATAAGTTAAATGATTTCGTGGATCTATTTTAAATATTAATACATCATTAACACCAGATGATGACCAATCATATACATTAATATCGACTAGAACCATAGGCGGCGGAACGTATAGGCTTGAAAGGCTTGAGCTTCATCTGAATTGGGCACTATTAGGCTCACGAGGGAACATCCCCAACTGTCCAATCG